TTGTTTTGGTATCTTAAGATTTGTAGAGTATAATTGATTAACATGTCTGTTATGTTATATCAGATTTATAAGAGCCATCTGACGCTTTATCGATGTACATATACTTTTGTTAACCTTATCTCCACTGTGTCGTAAGCAGGTCAATACCTGCCAACACAGGTAAAATAATAAAAACATCAATCATAAAAAAAAGATAATTAATAATAAATTAATTTTAAAAATGTCCTTTTTCATAAATAAACTTCAAACATCTTAATACAACATACCATAGACTGCAAAGCTCTCTTGTCTTTAATATGAAACAAACAAGTTTAAGGACATACGCAACGTAGTTTGAACTTTATTGTCTTTTCCCCTGGAGATGAAGAGTTCCAATAACTTAAAGAAACTGTGTGCTACATTTTTATGTCTATATATGCTGTTGTACACTTCTTCTAAAACAAGTTTGGATAAACAAAACATTTGGAATATATGTTTAGTAATTTTTGTATATTTTTCTTTGAATTATACAAGAATTCTAATTAATTGATATCTTTTCAAAACCCCTGGTAATGCATGCTGATTTTTTGTCTATGAACATCTGATGGCACTATAATCTTAAAGTAAGAATATCTTGAAAAATTATCAGTAGGTAAGGTACGTTGCGAATGTCCTTAAAACTCTTCGTATTATAAAAAAAAAAATGGTTGCATTTTTAAGTCTTCAGGACAATTTGATTTAACAATGCATATTGATTTAGCGAATGCTAGATTTAATCGTTGCTACAAGTACTGCTGAGAATTTATTCTGCATATCTAACTAAAATTTAGGAACCTATCGTTTTCCTATTAATAACACAGGCACTTGGGGTATGGACCCCCCCCTCCCCCCCCACCTTTCCATTTTTTTTTCTTTTTAAATCTGGGGTCGAGGCACCTTTTTCCTATTTTTGTATTCTAATATGCACTGTATGTTATCAATAATGTAACTCTTTTGTCTCTATAAGCTGTTTTTAAATATATCGTTTTCGACTGATACATAAAAAGAGAGTTCTCTTGGAAATGGAAAAGGGGGGGTCCATATCCCAAGTGCCTGTGATTTTGATACACTGTATAAACTATTAGAACTTGTTTTCGATTGACAACATGTTAATTGTTATTTGTCAGGCCCGTAGCAACGGTTTTAAAAATTGGGGGGGGGGGGGGTAACCTCCCAAAAATATCTGATAAGCTAAAAAAAAATGAATTTCACAGTGCTCGACCTAACAGCACCAAAAAAGGAGGGTTAACTAGCAAAAACTTACTAAGCAAAAAATTATTATAACAAAAGACTATACTCAGAAAAGGGGCGACTGTCCTCTCCCCCTACCCCGCGTTCTACGGGCCTGTATGTGTTGAAAATGTATAAAACAAGTACTGATTTTGTAGTGACAAAATTAAGTTATTTTCTTTCTGAAAGAGCATATATACACAATCATATATTCATATACACATCAAATGTACTTTGGGACGTTTGTATGTTATCTTAACACTATAAAAGTTACGAAACATTTCGTTTTTTATTTTTGTTTTCGTTTGTATGTTTTTTTGTTTTTTGTTGTTTTTTTTTTTTGCCAAATTCTGGTGGAAACAAGAATTTTTTTTACTCGTAGATACCAATAAATCTATATTTGGTTACTTTATATTTGCAGTAACGACAAGAAAGATTTTTTTCTCTCTCTCACTAAATCAGTCCAAGGAAAGAAAAGAAACAGCGATATACTAAGGAATACAATACCAACACCACAAAAATTTAAATGATCTCAACCCCTTACTCCTAACAATGAGAGCCTCTCCATTAAAAAGAACCACCAAATTTATATGACATGTATTTTAGCCTGATAATAGCTTGCTGTATATGTTGTCGAATTCACAAAACTCTATAACAAATTCAAGACGTTAAACCGATGTTTCTGCAAACTACAATATTTAGCGATTGTCCGCACAGGCAATAGAAAACCAGATGAGGGAAGACATAAGTAAAACTAGTGAGATTTCAAATTTTCTACAAATCTTGACAGTTGATATTAAAGAATTTTTTTTTTGTAGTTGTTTGTAATCCACTGTGATATCTTGAATATTCATCACAAAATAAAGAAAACAATTCAGATGACTAGAATATGGAAAATTTCTAAATAATAACACCCATGTCATTTCACTATGAAATTCATATCGGTCTAAATTTCAACAGTGAAATTATCATGATATTATATAATTGGAATGTTGGAAGGTGCAAAAGCTTTGGAAGGGCATACAAGTACTTAAGCCAGTTAAAGACATGAACAACTGAAAAATATAAGCAAATCAGACTCTGGAAAGTTAGCTTTTTATAGCAAAATTGTGAATTAAAATGAATATAAATTGCAAAGTTATTTAAAGCTACCTTTGAAAAAAAGATATAGATCTGTATTAACAAAATTAAGGATCACTGCCCATCCATTATATATTGAAACGGGTAGATACTGTAAACCCCCTATTCCTAGAGAAAAACGTCTATGCTATTCATGTAAATTGTTTATTGAAGTTAAGATGAAAAACATTTTGTTCTTTATTGTTCAAATATGACTAATATATATGCAAGAATACTGATATATTTAATTTAACACATATACTAGTGATAATCCCATTAGAAAAATTGTCAATCCTACAAATATTACAACTGCTATAGAAGGATATGTTGTTTCTTGAAAAAAGTGCTTTGACACTAGAAAAGAAAGTCAGCAATGAATACTTAGAAAAAAAAATACTCTACAGAATGTTTGTCACTTTGTATATGCATGTTATTAACCGTGTTAATTTGTTTTATATTATTAATGTTCATGACTGTATGCCGACATGGTGATTGTCAATAAAGTGAACTGAATTAAGGAAAGACTATTTGATTCCGAAATTTTGTGGAGATATATTATTTATTTCCATGCCTTTGCTGGACAGAATATTTATTTTCTCACTGAAAAAAAAGACTGAGAAGCAAAAAGGGGGACTATCCAAACTTGAAAAATCTATTTGGTGATTTGAGGGGGGGGGGGGATTAGTATCAACGGTCAAGTTCCTATTATTTCTTGCCAGATTATTTATTTTCAACATTTTAAAGCGCATATTTATTTCGAAAATCTTTCAATCCTTGCCTTTAAAAACAAGTGGTCATCTAATTGCTTATTTAAGAGATAAACGTTTAATGGTTTCGCTGTTTTAACTGCATGTATGAAGACTTATGCAAGTCGTAGATTATGCAGATCATACTTTTAAGCGACTCCCCCCGCGTTACCCGTTGTATATGGTGTAACAATTCGTTTGAAAAACCGCCAATCAAACATTCGATCTAACGACAGATTATATTTGCAAACAATGTCCTTGTATCTATACCACAGAATTTGCGAAATGTTGACTTTAAACGAGATCGTCGTCGATATATCTAATTGTCGAATTGAAGGCCTTAGCAAGATACTTTTCATGTAAAAGTTTGGGGAAATTCCGCTTTATAGAAATAGGTCTGCTAATGAAGGGGCACTATTTTTACCCATTATTATTACTACCTATTATTGGGTTGAAATTCCAACAGATTGCTGGAAGTCCTTGGTCACCAAAGACTACGCAGATATTAAATAAATATACCCTATGAGGAAGTTCTTTAAGACAGTACCAGAACTACCTTTAACTGAGCATACATTACAGGTAATATACACATATATATATGTACAATTATATATGATACAAGTAAAAATAATATATACTGCTGAAAACATTCATTTTCTGCTCTGAGAAAAAAAAATGTTAGTAAAAAAAATATATAGGTGAACAAGTTCATAATAATTAATTGATTTAAATTTAATTTCTGTTTTGCGTTCCTTGATCATTTCCTTTCCGATTTTTCTTGTTCCTTGTATTGATGTAATATATACATATATGTACAAGAACATGCATGGTATCTGTTCGTTCCTATTTCATATGGTCGTTGAAAGTTGCATAATTCTGATTCCAAAGTTTCCTTATAAGTTTTTTTAAGAGACAAAATTCCTAATTAGGACATGCAATCTCATTATTTATCTCCATAAATAACATGAAAATTAAACTCACTTAAAAGTTAATAAAGCTAAGAAAACTAAATACATCTTAGAACTCTTTTTAAAAGAATGAACGTCGACATATAGCCTATCTCTGAAACAAATCAGCTAGGTACTTTTATAATTACTGAAATCAAGGTAATGCCAAAGTATAGCAAACTCAGTAAGTAATTGAGCCCAACTGCAGGAAATCAGAGAAAATTATAGATTTTCTTTCTTGGTAGTATGTAAATAAACTTCTGTGAAAGTTCCATTGAATTTCAACTGGCCCATAGGAAGCAATTTTGGGATGGGGGGGGGGGGGTGTCAACCAAACAACTAAAATCGTTATTTTTTTCCCTGACGTTATTATTGAAGGACCATAAGCATAAAGTAGCTATGTTTCCTATAGTATACAATATATCTATAAATTTATCCCTATGGCCATGTTCTTTCAAAGGTTTAAGAAGATTGAGTTGCGTTAACAAAATGGCTACCCTCGCAGTGGCGTAGCTAGCAAAAAATTTACTGTATTCAAAAAAGACAAGGGGTCTGGGGGCCTCTTTGAGGCCCCCAGGGAGCGAAGCCCCCGGAAGCTCATGGAATTTAACAGTTTTAAATCAGAAAATTACCTTGAAATATTTTATTTTATCATATATGCGAATTCAATTCTATATATATCCAACTACAAAAAAAAATTAACATTCTCCATTTGAAATGTTACATTTTACTTACCGATTTTGAAATGTTACATTTTACCTATCGATTGTTTTGAAATTATAGTACTAGCACACTGCAGTAAATTTGGGTTTTAAAATTTTTAGGGGAATAGCATATTTTATGATTTTCTATTGCTTTGAATTGACAATATTATGAAATTCGTTCTTGAAATCACAAGCACATGTTTCGGTACTAATTTTTTAACCCATAGTTTAATAAAATACTATGGGTTAAAAAAATTATTACCGAAACGAGGTCCTGTGCTTGGAATACTAAAACCATTACAAGAAACGAGTACACTACATCAAAGATCTTATAATATAAAAGCTGAAAATATTATAGTTTATTCGTAGTGAAAAAATAAATCCATATTTTTTTTTTAATTCTAAAACATATATTATTTTGAACTATTTTTGAACTTTTGACACCTTTTTTTTTTTTTGAATTTTCATTTTTGTTGAAAAATCTGTGTACTCATTTGCGTTGTTGCGTAAAGGGCGCTACGCCACTGCCTCCGCCCTTTATCGAGTATACCGTAATTTGCTATGGAAAACCTCAAATACCCGTGGGATCAACTAAAAGTATTAAATAGGAGATGCACAATATGGCAAGATGTTGTGAAAGTCTCAATAAATCTAATTCGGTGGTATGGTGGGAGGAGTTGCAGATAAGGGACGGTACGGTACCCCCAATGTTATATATAGAAGGAATGGCAGTGTCCATGTTCTGTTGTGGAAAAACCTAAATTTATATATGTTTGATTGAAAGTAAAATAGGAGATGCACAATGCCACTATGTATAATGAAGATTTGGTGAAAGTTTCATTAAACATGTTAAATACATTTAATCACGGTGTCTTAGAGGGACTTGTGCACTATAGATTCTCCTTAGATTTAAAAATATTTTAAGGCTATAATAAAAAGGAAATCGCTAAATTTCAAGATAAAGGAGATGGGTGAACATGACGAGCGATAAGCCTATAGTGTGACAAACATGAAGATGAAAAATTAAATTTCAATTATATCAAAATTTTCCTTGATATTTCGTCTAACATTAAAATATACTTTATGTAAAATCTCTACAATTTGCATAAATCCCTCAAAGATTGAAATTATTTGCCTGTGAAATATTAGACACACACTAAAGCGGGCAAAAAGAGTCATTTTCTCATACTATAACACTATTTTTCGATATGAGTGGGTCTTTGCTCCACCTTTTTGAAAGTTAATCCTCAAAGTTTGCATAAAAATATACATTTTTTGGTTACCAAAAATATGGAGCAAAGACCCACTTTACCTTTAAAATATACTTTTATGACATAACATTCGCATCTTTACGAGAAATACTTGAAGTCCATTAAGTCAAGGGTCACATCACAAACATGATTTAAATGCCACTGTTCGTCAGGACTTGTGTAGTCTAGTAGTTAGCGTGCTAGTCTCGAAAGAAAATGATACTCAGGATTTTTATTGCTAGGGTTCGAACCCCACGAATACCACATTAATTTTTTTAATAAAAGAATAAATTTTGCTGAGAAAATTTTCCTCAGAAAAGTTTTGTTTATCACACTTTCATAAATTTCAATAATGAGAACTTTACTCTAAATATTAAATTCACAAACTGAACATGATATTTATATTTCTGAAGCTATAGGCTTTCTGCACGCTATGTTCGCCCATCTCCTTTAATTAATTCTAAATAAAATTTAAATAAATTCCACATGCAAAAACGTAGAAGAACGTGTGGTATAGCAAAAAAATTTGAGCATATTAAAGGAAATAAATGCTATAATTTCAATGACATCCGAGGAAAATATTTGTAAAAGTAATTTTTTTAAATCCACCTCTACAAGATTCTGCCATAAATTGTCTCGAATCACTCTTAGGGGAATATCGGTGATTAGCGTTAATAGCACTTGTATTGAGTTCAGCTCAAAGCTAAATCGGACGGGATTTCTTGGGATGTATAAGCCCAATCTGGACCAAACTCGCATGATGCATCTATGGATGGACAATACCAGACCTGCTTCAGATGGATCTGACCAATATTTTTCAGATGAATGACCAGGTTAAAGTTTTTGGAGCAGTACCATTCTAAAGAAACTACATGTATATAAGCCTTAACTATACCTAAACTTGCATGGAGGAGGATGCAACTAAAGGGATATGCACTACCAGACTTGCTTCGGGTGCTGAATCTGACTTATGCTGTCCAGATGAGTGACAAGGTTAAAGTTTTTTTGTAGTAGTTCTGTCCCTATAAGTAACTATACACATGTACATGTATATATGTCATGAATAAAATTTCATTTAAATGATGCGTCTATAATTTGGGATGGACATTTCTAGACTTGCTTCAGATTCTGGATCCATCTGACTTACATTTTCCGGAGGAGTTAAGTTTTTGGAGAAGATACATTCCCAAGTCACTATAAGTCCTGCCAAACTGAACATTTGCATGGATATTCATCTCGGGATGAACTACAAAAAAAGGTGCGAGGTTTGCCTTACTTAGATAAGATTCGTCGAGATGAGCTTCGTAATATCTTTGATTTAGTGCCTAGATGCTTTTTATTGTCTTCCCCATTCTGGTCCCTACCCATGTTTCTATTGAATATATTTAGCCTCAGTTCTGAAAGTTATGACAATCTTGGACTCAATGATATATATAGCTCAGTGGTTACATCGATGCATTATGATGATAATAATATATACTTTCTTTTTTTCAAATCTGCTTTATTTCTAATGAAAACCAATTACTGTTGATCAATGAACCAATAACCACAATGAACTTCCAAAAGTAAATTTTATATGGGCCTTTTTTAAAAAAATACACGTATATATATACGTTGCAGAAAAAAGTTTCATCAAAACAACGGCAACGTAACTGCTTATTTTTCATCTTGGGAGAAAGATAAGTCTTGGCACAATTCGACTCACTTTAACGAGGTTCGCTCCTGAGCTTTTGAGCAGATTCTTATCTTAACCTATATTTCAAAAATTCTGCATAATGTTTTAATTCTTACAATAAATTTGGATTCTACAATGCCAGTTTAACTATATTCAGTTAAAACTCCATGATTAAATTCCATACCAAAAGCATTAAGTGAGGAACTATATTTTGTGGCGGAAGGTTTTTTAGAAGAAAATGATCATTGATTTAAGAGTATGTTAAGTTTGGATTCCTATTTTTACATGTAGTCTGCACACAGAGTTCTTTTGTGCAGTGGACTGTTTTATACTGGTCCTAAATTATCTATTTAAAAAACTGTCATGAATTCTATCATCATATTTGATAAATATAGCAAATATATTGTGGAAATGAAGAAAAAAATAGCCCTAATTTAAGCTTAAAATTAGCACTATTTTAGTAATATCTAAAAATTAACATCACAGACCCCCACTTTTAATTTTCTTTTCTGAATATATACGATACTTTTAATCATTCTTCTTAAATTCAGTAAAATGTCATTACTTTCAAATGATTTTTTTTGCTTGTTAAATTTTAATACCAGAAAAATGAAAATGTTTGAGTGCAAAAAGGTCAAATAATTGAACATGCGGAGTAATTCAAAAATTTCTTCGTTGTTACAAATTTTAATGTGTCTATTTAAGATGAAATAAGACTGTGTTTGTTCACCATAATTTATTTGAACAAAAATATTGAAGGAAAAACTTTAAAAATTGATTTATGTGTAAGACGTATTTACAGTGCAAAAAGGTCAAACTAAATGCTCTGTAGCGCCAAAAGAAGCGCATTGACCCCCATTTTTTGTTTTGATTTTTAATAAAGCTATGTGTATAAATTCTAAAAATATACTTGATAAAAAATTCTCATTACTTTTGATGGCAGGATCCAACCTCCTTAAGAACGATTAGACATGCCACTTTATTTGCAAAGCATTGTGGGATGGAATTGTTAAACCGAAAGTAAAAAAAATATAGATTCCCACCTTTTATCGTTCTTATGTGGTCAGGTGGAAATTGTTTTTGAGGTTACGTAATAATTTAACAACTCCAAATCTTCCAGCGAAATCGCACTAGGAGAGAAGGCAATCTAAGGTAAAAGTGCGTGTTTCCTCTACAGATAAAACTGCTCTTTTTTCCTGCTCCCCCCTTGGCTATCTCTCTTGTTTCGTTTCTTTAAAATATTATGTTTTTAAAAGATAAACGCAGATCATGAGTCATTTTATATATACAGTATTGGAATAAATTGATTTAAAATGCATAAGTGAAATCCCAAACCCCCCAAAATAGAGAAAATTGAGATTTGTTGTCATAGCCAAAAATCTTCAGAGAGTTTCTGCACAACTTTTTACAGAGTGACAGGGATCAATGGTAGATTATATATCTTCCTGGACCATGTTACATAATATTCACCCCTGCAAACTTAGTACTGTGTCTCGGGACAGGCCCTCACCACAGAATGCCTCCTATATATCAACAATGTAGCAGAAAACTGCAGAATCGCTCTGAAACAATTTTTGAGAAAATAAACGAAGTTGCATTGAAAATAACGGGTGCGTCGATTTACCCAAATGGACCCAAACGGAACCCACATGGACCCAAATGGAACCCAAATGGAAACCCAAATGGAATATTAAACATATATTATCGTTTTCTCAAGTTGTTACATATTTAAAATGATGAAAATAATGAACTTGCAAATGGAGAATATTAATTATTCATTTCTATTATTGTATTTTAAAATACGAATTAATCTTTTATTTCTATTTGTAATAACTTTTGCAAATCATTGAATACAAATTTGAAGTATTTCACTTTAAAATTTATATAGTTTTATTGGCTGTAGGAACCCCGGGGTGGGGGGGGGGGGGGGAGGAGGCAAGGGGCCTGTTAATTAATGCGTATTTTAAAATACAGTGTTAGAAATGAATAATTTATTAATATTCTCCATTTGTAAGTTCATTATTTTCATCATTTTAAATAAGTTACAACTTGATAATACCATAATATATATTTAATATTCCATTCCGTTTCCATTTGGGTCCATTTGATTTCCATTTGGGTCCATTTTGATTTCCATTTGGATCCATTTGGGTCCATTTGGGTAAATCGACGTGCCGAAAATAACTGTCAAATTAATTATAACAAACCTTTTTGAAATTGTGGATACCTTTCATGCAAAAAAATTAAGTAATATAATGGAAGAATTCAACACTTTCTCTCAACATCTTTTATCGAAAAATTTACACACTTGTACTTTGTTAACATTTGGAATTTTCTGGATTGTTC